TACACTTTTCACAATATTTATCAGAGTATCTTGTTGTTTTACAATTATTGCATTCTCTTGGTTCACCATATTTATAAGTTGCATTCATTAATCCGAATTCATAAATAAACCTTTCTCTACAATATTCCTTTTCATTTTCTGATAATTCTTTGTTTTCTTTGACTAAATGGAAAAAATAACTTTTTCTATTTTCATTGTCAGAATTAGAAGTAGTTGGAAAAGCAATACAAGCAATACCATTCATTTCATTATGAATTTTATATACTAGTTCTCTTCTGTCATGTGCTAATAACTTTTCAAAAGACATTTTAACTTTTTAATATTTCTTTTTTTTCTTTTTTTTTAAAAAAAAAAAAATAATTTGTGTATTTTTTGCAAATCAAAACCATTATTAGTATTAGCCTTCAGTAATTGATAAGAATCAAAATTTTTGTTTTCGTATTCCATTAACATATCAATATCAATATCACAGATGCTTAATTTTGCCCAATTGTTTCTCTTGTTATAATTTTCACCTTCCTAATTTTGTGTGATATTACAATCTTCTCTTTGAATGAACCAATGTACTTTAATAGATCATTTGGAACCTTGGGGAATTCTTTGTATGCAGCAGTATCTTTGATGTTTCTTACAGCAAACATATTGAATATAGTATAAAGCAAAAAAGTAAATCCAAATGCATTTTTCAGATTGGAAGTCCATTTTTTCCTTGTTTCATTTAAATATTTGGTTCAAGTTCAGTTAAACTTTATATTATCCATCCTCATCATCCTCATTATTTTCAGATCTCTTGATATTGAACATTAAATGATGAATTAATTTCAAAAACAAAGTAATCAATTACCTGGGACACAACAATAATTAAAACATTTCAAAAATGAAATGTAGTATTGTTCATTTTACATTTAACATTTTAGCTTTTGACAATTATTCAATTATAAAAACATGCAGAGAAATTATTCAAGTTTATTTTCAAGCTTTTATAAATAATAATGAAAAATTAAAAAATAAATATAAAAGATAAATTCACCCAATTCCCCAACCTTAACCTTATCAACTAATTATTATTATTATCATCATTATAATTAATTAATAAATAATTATATTTAAATTAATAACTTCAATTAATTTAATACCTTATTAAAATTATATTTCATAATTTAATAAGCTATCATTACCTAAACTCAATTTAGCAAATTCATCATTTAATATCCTACTTGAGTGATATGCTAATGGATGTGATTTATGTACTTGTTGTGAATCACCACCACTAATACTAATACTATTATTATCATGATTATTATTGATAATTTCATCTACTAGACCATCAGCAAAATCCAAAAGCTCACCAATAGTTGGTCTCTTGGCTGGGTCCACATCCCAACACCTTTGCATCATTTGTGCATAATCACTAGGCATTCCTGGTAGTATTGGTGGTCGTAAACCTGCACATATATTAGACATTAATTCACAACTATGAGCTTTATCATCAAATGGTGGATGACCTGCAAAGATTTCCCACATTAACATCCCAACACTATAAATATCTGTTTCTTTTGTGTGTTTTTTTCCTTTAAATAATTCTGGTGC